TGTTTTGTTTTTCCAGTAGAAGTTCGAGGGCAACCTGACCCATTGTCTTTTCATGAATTATGCGTAGATATTTTTCATGCACTTGAATAAGACAAAATGTGAAAGAAACACTTCCCTAGAGTATCATCAGTTTATCAGTATATTTATCTTAAATATAACATTTCCTTATTAACTTTCAACTCTCAGGCAACCTTGTGCTGCTTGTCTGGAATTCAAGCCCCACCAAAAAATGCTGAAGTGCTGGAACATGTTGCTGGTAATGAATATTCCGTCTTTTTAATATTGGATTTATTTCCATGTAAAATTAAGTTAATTTATTCTCTTTCCTAAAAGTTTTATTGTCGACGTCTGTTTTGTTATTCGAACTGGAAGACTATACCAACTGTAAGAGCAGCATTAAGCATGTATAGATGCCGAGTACGGCTGCAGGAAAAGCGAGTGTAATAATACTAAGGCGAATCATAGGCTTGATTCTTTAATTCTAGTCGTAAGGTGTTCTTTAACTGCAAAGGTAAAAATTTCATTGGTCATGTATTCTTTGCCAATAAAAGTTATTTGACCAAAAAGCCTAAATAAGGCAATTTGTCTTGAATTACGTATACGCAGGGAACTGCTTCGTGCAAGATCAAATGTGTAAGCCTGTAACCTGACTGGACATCCAACGAAATTTTATTTTTCTCTTCAAAAGATGGATATCCCTATTCGCTGGATAAATCTCTTTCCAGCTCATGGTGCAATTAGTTTCCCTATAACTTGTTCTTTGGATAGTGATTTATCCGGTTGATAACGCTTACCAACTTTTGAACAACCAAGACTTGCACAATAAGCAAATCATTATATAAAGAAGTCTTTATGCGAGAAATTAACCCAACTATCACCTTTGTTTAAGGTGTTCTAAGAAATCTGACGCAAGAAAATAACTCTCATCGTCTTTATGTTGCTGCTCAATCTGGTCTGGAGCTTCTTGTCAAGGTGAGATCATCTTAGATGTTACTTCATGTTCGATGCATCTTGTTGATATGGACATACCACTACAGGAGCGTTTTGTGTAAGGCATAAGTTAATGAATTCAGCATAAATTTAACCTAAAACAGCATTATCCTCGTGACGTAGCCCCATTTAGGCCCACGTAAACAAAAAATGGCAACAGAGACGAAGATGTGCTAATCGCAACACCTTATAGACCTCTTTTGTAATGGCGGCCTATTAAATAAATATACCGCAAAATTCCGAAAATAAGCCCCGGGGCTTAGATTTTTCAAAGGCCCTTTTTAAGGGGCTTATTTTTGGAGGGGCTTATCTACGGAGGGAAATTTGCGTTTCAAAACCGATTGGGTTAGCCTCATAGTTGGAAACCGTTTTTTCTTTTTTTTACTTTGTATTTGAGAGCAATTTTCCGAGTACAAGCCTCCGAGGGGCTTATATTTGGAGGGGCGATTTAACGGAGGGCTTTTTTGCGTTAACGGTTTGGGAGGCTTATATTTGGAGGGGCTTATACATGGAGGGGCCTATTTTCGGAATTTACGGTATTCTTTTATCAATGATGTATGATAACTAGCCTTTGTGACCTCGTTAGCATGTGAAAAATACAAAAGAATTCTTACTTTCAAACCTGGTCAGAAAGGCTAATTATCATACGTATTAAAAAAATAAGCCGCCATTATGAAAAAGGTCTATAGCAAGTCCTTTTCGCTTCTGAGTAGAACGGTTTTTAATTTTAATCGAAGTAGAAGTTTGACATCTTAATGTCACTGAGAGCCAAGAGTTCTTTGGCATTGAGGTTGGGCGTTAAGACTGCATGGCTTAATCGGCTTTGCCCCCACCTCAGCTGGGGAGAGTGACTCTAATTTTTAAATTTCGTCCACCTTTTTTATGGTAACTTCTGCTGCTTTTATTATCCTGTCAGCTATGCACCATACCAAACAGAAACGTCTGTAAGCAGGCAGCTGGCGCGATTGTTAATCTTGCCATGAATACCAAAGTTCAAGTAAGAATCGGCTTTCTTGGAGGGATTCAAGTTCTTCTTGGTAAGGATATTTCATAGAATTACATGAGGCGAAAACGAAAAACAGTTATTGCGATAGTGAGATCATGATTATCAGGGTATTGAACAATATTGGGTATTTGCTGATGATAGCAAAGGATCAGCAAGAATATCTTGTCGAAAAATGTTGGAAGGACCTAGTTGAGAAGAGTCATTAAAGGGTGTGGAGGATATTAACTGTCTAATTCAAGGAGTCAAGATGGTCCTTTAAAGGACCTGTGTTAAGGAAAAAAGTAAGAGGTATAACACCTTGATGTTGATGTTCCTTTTTGCGTGGTATCGCCCACTATGTCAACCAGGCAACTTGCCAAGAGCGGTATAAAACGCGTATGATAAGTTTACAATCATCGTATTCATTACAGGAAGGCGGTATTTTTGCCGTTTAATCCTTCAGTTTTTAATACATTAGGTTTCATGGCTATTGTTCCCCGTTGGAATCATAATTACGGAATCCAAAGAAGAGCGAAGGATGGAGCAGCTGAATAAAAAAACACTCGTATTCAAGAAATAGGATGTGGAAAAAGCTGAGGACGTTGAAGAATCCTTTAGGCAATGCTCTCTTAAAAGTGCAGGCGGTGTTAAGGAACCATAGTGGAAAATTCGTGCGTGACCCTTGATAATATAATTTAGTCTGAAAATACCGGTTACAAGCTCTTTATTTGGACAGCGAAGCCTTCGACTGTCTTGTGCAGTCTTCTTTAGCGATTGTTGTCACATGACCTCAATTCAAATGAGTCACGTGGAAAGAAGTAGTTAAAAATAGTGATTAGTTCATATCCACCATCTTACGCTTTGATGGTGACGTTTGATGTGGATGGTTCCCTTGATGTTTCCTTTAATATCCATGGGCTTCTGGTCTGTCATTCCGACACCTCCCAATCGATCCCGTGGCAGGCCTTAAGGACGAGTGTCCACAGACTGTCGAAGTTATTTTTGGGTTACCTATGGCAAGGCCAATAAAGTTCTGAGCATGTCGAAAAAATACAAAATGGCGGACGCGAAAACAAGAGGAACGTGCGTGTCCCATCCCTCCTTCAATGAGACGATTACTTGAATTTTTGAGAAGGGGGAAAGTTATTTCAGATAAATACAATCAGACTTGACGCTTAAACAAAATTATGGCTCAAGTTGTTTGTTCTAACTCAACTTCACAGTCCTTTGTATTCGACATTTCCCAGTATATCTCTACCTCTGTGCAGCTATACAGTCAAGCCTGAAAAACAAACTATTAATAGCAAAGGCCACTTCATCGCGCAGCTGGCAGACCAATGTACCCCTATGATGGGGGTGTCGTTTGCTTCTGGTGTTCTTCCAGTCTCCTTTCAAGGGCCCTGGTTGTCTATCTTATGCGGTGCTCGCCACAACTTTTATGTGAATTGTTTTTTGAATAGATTAGTTCATTATGATGCACTTCACAGAACTTTAAACGAGTGTGTTTTGCAATAAAAACCGTTTACCTTCTTCAGATGTTTGCCGGAGATTTCAGCATGATGAAGAAATCCTTCTTCTTGCAATTGGAGGAATTCAAAACTTGGTTCGAGACTCCTACGTTAATCGCTGTCGTTTAGCAGATTCTGCCCCCCAAATTTTGCATAACTTATTGTCTTAAAATGCTCTTGGGAAAATGCAATACTCCCAGGAGCATTTAAAAACAATGGTTTATGCAAAATTTGAGGGGCAAACAGAGTGTATTATGGGCAATTGGAAAATAGAGAATAGTGCAATTGGTTTCCCTATTACTTGTTCTTTGGATAGTGATTTATCCGGTGGATAACGCTTACCAACTTTTGAACAACCGAGACTTGCACAATAAGTAAGTCATTATATAAAGAAGTCTTTTTGCGAGAAATTAACCCAACTATCACCTTTGTTTAAGGTGTTCTAAGAAATCTGACGCAAGAAAATAACTCTCATCGTCTTTATGTTGCTGCTCAATCTGGTCTGGAGCTTCTTATCAAGGTGAGATCATCTTAGATGTTACTTCATGTTCGATGCAGCTTGCTGATATGGACATACCACTACAGGAGCGTTTTGTGTAAGGCATAAGTTAATGAATTCAGCATAAATTTAACCTAAAACAGCATTATCCTCGTGACATAGCCCCATTAAGGCCCACGTAAACAAAAAATGGCAATAGAGACGAAGATGTACTAACTATTACAACACCTTATAGACCTCTTTTGTAATGGCGGCCTATTAAATAAATATACCGTAGAATTCCGAAAATAAGCCCCGGGGCTTATATTTCTCAAAGGCCCTTTTTGAAGGGCTTATCTACGGAGGGAAATTTGCGTTTCAAACCCGATTGGGTTAGCCTGTTAGTTGGAAGTAAATTTACCGTTTTTGCTTTGTTTTACTTTGTATTTGAGAGCAATTTATCAAGTACAAGCCCCCGGGGAGCTTATATTTGAAGGGGCGTTTTAATGAAGGGTTTTTTGCGTTACCGGTTTGGGGGGCTTAATTTCGGAATTTACGGTATTCTTTTATATGTATGATAACTAGCCTTTGTGACCTCGTTAGCGTGTGAAAAATACAAAAGAATTCTTACTTTCAAACCTGGTCAGAAAGGCTAATTATCATACATATAAAAAAATAAGCCGCCATTATGAAAAAGGTCTATAGCAAGTCCTTTTCGCTTCTGAGTAGAACGGTTTTTAATTTTAATCGAAGTAGAAGCTTGACATCTTACTGTCACTGAGAGCCAAGAGTTCTTTGGCATTGAGGTTGGGCGTTGAGACTGCATGGCTTAATCGGCTTTGCCCCCACCTCAGCTTGGGAGAGCTTTTTAAATTTCGTCCGTCTGTTTTATGGTAACTTCTGCTGCTTTTTATTATCCTGTCAGCTATGCACCATACCAAACAGAAACGTCTGTAAGCAGGCAGCTGGCGCGATTGTTAATCTTGCCATGAATACCAAAGTTCAAGTAAGAATCGGCTTTCTTGGAGGGATTCAAGTT